TACACAGACCATACACGTTTCCCCCCCTGAGTTATATTTCATGCTAAAAGCACAGGAGTAAAAAGAACTACCCGTGAAGAAAGGTCACTTCAAATGGCCACCAGCTCTTGAGGAAGTTTGTCGGCTCTATGTGCATTCCAGAAACAAAGGCCTGCCTCTGTCCATGGGTTAAGGGATATTGGGAGGGCTGTTCCCTCCTCCCAGCATGGATGTGTGTCTTGTGCCTCCTGCCAATGGGAGAAGGTTCTTTGTCATCGCAGGGTCTTGGGCTTCATGGGACTGGAAGGCCCCAGTGGTGGGGACCGTGATGGTCAATATGAAGCAGCCAACCCAGACCAGCTTTTTCCTTGGTTCCATCCCCAAGAGGGCAGCAACAGGCTTCTTCACCCTCCTTCATCTGTATCTCTTCCAGATACAACTCTTAGCTCTAAGATTATATCCCAAAAAGTATTGTTAGAGAACAAACCCTTGCCACCTTCTACCATTTCTGACAACTTTAGGTTAATGATCCGGGCCTGATAGTATCAACCGAAATTCAAAGGAAAGCCACAGATGAAGAAAGAGAGCCAGATCTTGTCCTCACTGGATGTGTGGTGCTCAGTTCACTCAGAGGCAACTGGGAGGAAATCTGAAAAGCGTTCAAAAGGGAAGTTGGTGGTGACGCTCACTTGTGAGGTCCAGGTTGCTGGATTTGCCTTGTCTGTAGTTAGATTTTTTTTTTAAAGATTTTATTTATTTATTTATTTATTTGAGAGAGAGAGAGAGAGAGAGAGAGAAACAGCATGAGAGGGGATAGGGTCAGAGGGAGAAGCAGGCTCCCTGCCGAGCTGGGAGCCCGATGTGGGACTCGATCCTGGGACTCCGGGATCATGACCTGAGCCGAAGGCAGTCGCTCAACCAACTGAGCCACCCAGGCGCCCTTGTAGTTAGATTTTGAGAAGCTGTTGCATCACGAGGCAGGAGCTCACTCTACCCCTCCTTTTCCGGGCTTGAAGACCATGATGGGTCTGTTGGGCTTTCTCCCTGAGGAAATGCTACTGAGAGATTTGAGCCATGGCTTGGTCAGGTAAAGCTCATTGACATGGTTAGGGTGAACACCACTCGGGGCTTTGGCCCTCTGTGTGACAGATGCTGAGTCTATGGCTAACTGGGGGTCGCTGCTCAGATGGACGCTGTGGCCTTTCTTAATAAGAGCATGGGAATTGGCATGACGTTGAGGTGGTCCTGGAGAAGATGTGTGGGATGGGGGGACTTGGAGGGTTGTCTCATTGCTTTCCTCTTAAGCCGGTGCTTTTGGGGGGGTTGGCAAGCCTAAGCCCGCCCACAGAGATGAGAACCTACAGAAATGGTAAGGCCCTCCGGGGAAGGATGGTACAGCCCTCTTTGGCAACCTCTGCTAATGTCCTAACAATCCTCATTGTCAGGACCTCCTTTCTTCCTATTGAACTTAAATTCTCACTCCAGTTCAAGCCACTAGCTTCTCACTCCTTCCTAGATGGGGGTTAGGAACAGCTGGTTACAATCTTCTGTGTGGAAATCCACAGTTCTTGGAGAAATGAACACACACACACACCAAAAAGCTCAGAGTTCTACCTTTAGGATTGTGTTTTCCCTCTGGAAAATATTCCCCAGATTAAATATAAATTAATTTTCAATTTCTCAAAAATCTTATTTCCTAGCCAATACCATTTCCATATGGATATTTTAAGGAAAATAGTGGACCCTTAAGTTCTGGAGTTTTAGAAGTCTTGCCAATAAACTTTTGAAAATATGAACTAGAAGTCTTCCTATGGAAAGACATGTCATAAATAAGAAGTTCTTGGAATGAAAGTGTCCGTGAACTTAAGGGTTTGTGCGATATTGTCTCCCTGAATCTTACGGCATCAGGAACTAGGTTTTTAAATTTGGAAAAATGTATGCACCATAGCAGCTTGTACTGTGTAAGAGGATAAGCTTCAAGGCTTGGCTCTGCTCTATTTTTTTTTCCATTTTTTTAATTATGTTATGTTAATCACGATACATTACATCATTAGTTTTTGATGTAGTGTTCCATGATTCATTGTTTGCGTATAACACCCGGTGCTCTATTCAGTACGTGCCCTCCTCAATACTCATCACCAGGCTAACCCATTCCCCCATCCCCTCCCCTCTAGAACCCTTAGTTTGTTTCTCAGAGTCCATAGTCTCTCATGGTTCGTCTCCCCCTCCGATTCCCCCCCTTCATTTTTCCCTTCCTGCTATATTCTTCTTCTTCTTCTTTTTTTTAAACATATAATGTATTATTTGTTTCAGAGGTACAAGTCTGTGATTCAACAGTCTTACACAATTCACAGCACTCACCATAGCACATACCCTCCCCAGTGTCTATCACTCAGCCACCCCATCCCTCCCACCCCCACCATTCCAGCAACCCTCAGTTTGTTCCTGAGATTAAGAATTCCTCATATCAGTGAGATCATATGATACATGTCTTTCTCTGATTGACTTATTTCGCTCAGCATAATACCCTCCAGTTCTATCCACGTCATTACAAATGGCAAGATTTCATTCCTTTTGATGGCTGCATAATATTCCATTGTATATATATACCACTTCTTCTTTATCCATTCATCTGTCGATGGACATCTTGGCTCTTTCCACAGTTTGGCTATTGTGGACATTGCTGTTATAAACATCGAGGTGCATGTACCCCTTCGGATCCCTACATTTGTATCTTTGGGGTAAATACTCAGTAGTGCAATTGCTGGGTCGTATGGTAGCTCTATTTTCAACTTTTTGAAGAAACTCCATACTGTTTTCCAGAGTGGCTACACCAGCTTGTATTCCCACCAACAGTGTAGGAGGGTTCCCCTTTCTCCACATCCCTGCCAACATCTGTCGTTTCCTGACTTGTTAATTTTAGCCATTCTGACTGGTGTGAGGTGGTATCTCATTGAGGTTTTGATTTGGATTTCCCTGATGCCGAGTGATGTTGAACACTTTTTCATGTGTCTGTTGGCCATTTGGATGTCTTCTTTGGAAAAATGTCTGTTCATGTCTTCTGCCCATTTCTTGATTGGATTCTTTGTTCTTTGGGTGTTGAGTTTGATAAGTTCTCTATAGATTTTGGATACTAGCCCTTTATCTGATATGTCATTTGCAAATATCTTCTCCCATTCTGTCTTTTGGTTTTGTTGACTGTTTCTTTTGCTGTGCAAAAGCTTTTTATCTTGATGAAGTCCCAATAGTTCATTTTTGCCCTTGCTTCCCTTGCCTTTGGCGATGTTTCTAGGAAGAAGTTGCTGCGGCTGAGGTCGAAGAGGTTGCTGCCTGTGTTCTCCTTTCGGATTTTGATGGACTCCTGTCTCACATTTAGGTCTTTCAACATTTTGAGTCTATTTTTGTGTGTGGTGTAAGGAAACGGTCCAGTTTCATTCTTCTGCATCTGTCCAATTTTCCCGACACCATTTGTTGAAGAGACTGTCTTTTTTCCATTGGACATTCTTTCCTGCTTTGTCGAAGACGAGTTGACCATAGAGTTGAGAGTCCATTTCTGGGCTCTCTATTCTGTTCCATTGATCTATGTGTCCGTTTTTGTGCCAGTACCATACTGTCTTGATGATTACACCTTTGTAATAAAGCTTGAAGTCCGGAATTGTGATGCCACCAGCTTTGCTTTTCTTTTTCAACATTCCTCTGGCTATGCGGGGTCTTTTCTGGTTCCATACAAATTTTAGGATTATTTGTTCCATTTCTTTGAAAAAAGTAGATGGTATTTTGATGGGGATTGCATTAAATGTGTAGATTGCTCTAGGTAGCATTGATATCTTCACAATATTTGTTCTTCCAATCCATGAGCATGGAACGTTTTTCCATTTCTTTGTGTCTTCCTCAGTTTCTTTCATGAGTGTTTTATAGTTTTCTGAGTACAGATTCTTTGCCTCTTTGGTTAGATTTATTCCTCGGTATCTTATGGTTTTGGGTGCAATTGTAAATGGGATCGACTCCTTAATTTCTCTTTCTTCTGTCTTGTTGTTGGTGTATAGAAATGCCACTGACTTCTGTGCATTGATTTTATATCCTGCCACTTGACTGAATTCCTGTATGAGTTCTAGCAGTTTTGGGGTGGAGTCTTTTGGGTTTTCCACATAAAGTATCATATCATCTGCGAAGAGTGAGAGTTTGACTTCTTCTTTGCTGATTTGGATGCCTTTGATTTCTTTTTGTTGTCTGATTGCTGTGGCTAGGACTTCTAATACTATGTTGAACAGCAGTGGTGATAGTGGACATCCCTGCCATGTTCCTGACCTTAGGGGGAAAGCTCTGTTTTCCCCCATTGAGAATGATATTCACTGTGGGTTTTCATGGATGGCTTTTATGTTATTGAGGTATTTACCCTCTATCCCTACACTCTGAAGAGTTTTGATCAAGAAAGGATGTTGTACTTTGTCAAATGCTTTTTCTGCCTCTATTGAGAGGATCATATGTTTCTTGTTCTTTCTTTTATTCATGTATTGTATCACATTGATTGATTTGTGGATGTTGAACCAACCTTGCAGCCCAGGGATAAATTCCACTTGGTCGTGGTGAATAATCCTTTTAATGTACTGTTGGATCCTATTGGCTAGTATTTTGGTGAGAATTTTTGCATCCACGTTCATCAAGGATATTGGTCTGTAATTCTTCTTTTTGGTTTTGGGATCAAGGTAATGGTGGCCTCATAAAATGAGTTTGGAAGTTTTCCTTCCATTTCTATTTTTTGGAACAGTTTCAGAAGAATAGGTATTAATTCTTCTTGAAATGCTTGGTAGAATTCCCCTGGGAAGCCATCTGGCCCTGGGCTTTTGTTTGTTGGGAGATTTTTGATGACTGCTTCAATTTCCTTAGTGGTTATAGGTCTGTTCAGGTTTTCTATTTCTTCCTGGTTCAGTTTGGTAGTTGATACACCTCTAGGAATGCATCCATTTCTTCCAGGTTATCTAATTTGCTGGCATAGAGTTGCTCATAATATGTTCTTATAATTTTTTTTTAGGGGTGCTGAGGGGCTGCTCCCCTTTTATTATTGACAGGAGGTTTCTCTAACGAGTGTGACACCCCTCCCCTGTGGGGCCATTGTCCGACCTGTGCGTTGTCCCTTCAAGTACCCTCTCAGAAGAAGAGCCCCCACATCTGCCTGCCAATGCCTTGTCGATCATAGAGGATGTTGAACTTGTTCACGAACTGGTTCATGGTGTTGCAGGTTTTGGTGATGGTGCCAAGGTAGGCCATGAGCCCCACTTCATTGCATTGATCGTAAAAGTCTGTCTTGAACTTGTCTGTGCTGAGCACTGGGAGGCAGTGACATAGAGCAAAGGCCTCCCGCAGGATCTCATGGTTGAAGGGGACCTCTCCCGCTTCGGAGGCCTTGACGTACTCCAAGATGAGCTTGACCTGGCTGTGCAGCATCCTAATGGCACTGTGCTGCGTGATCAGGTGCTCGGCCACAGTGGAGTTCTCCCCGTTGCCCGTGGCTGTCATTCGGGCCACGTGGTCGACGCCAACGCGTTCGGCTTCCTCCGTGGCCAGAGTGTAGGTCAGTTCAGCAAACAGCATCGTGGCCTCTCCATTGATTATATCGATGACAGACTCAAAAACACTGACGGGAAGATCTGTGTGCTTCGTCATAGGGTTCAATTTAAGAAAGAGCGTGCTCTCGATCTCGCACACCTGCTTGTGGACATGGATGTCGGAGGGGTCAGGCGGCCCCCTGGTGGTATACCAACCCAGAAACTCCAGGTCCTTGAACACCTGTTTGAACTGCTCCTCCTTGGTGTAGTAATACTCCTTGTCAATGATAATCTTCTCCTCCACGGTGTGGGAGACCAGCTCAAAGGAGTTCATCACCTCGATATTTCGGCCCTCCTGTTTCTTTGGTGTTGGTTGTGATCTCTCCTCTTTATTCATGATTTTATTTATTTGGGTCATTTCTCTTTTCCTTTTGATAAGTCTGGCCAGGCGTTTATCAATCTTGTTAATTCTTTCAAAGAACTAGCTCCTAGTTTTGTTGATCTGTTCTACTGTTCTTTTGGTTTCTATTTCATTGATTTCTGCTCTGATCTTTATTATTTCTCTTCTCCTGATGGGTCTAGGCTTTATGGCTCTTCTCTATTTTTATTTCCATTATGGGTTACTTTTCTGTATTTTGACGAGATTCTACTGATGGAGGAACCAAGACTGTCCAGGTAAACAGTTGGCTTCCGTTGGACCATGTTAGAAGCAATGGGCACGGGGTGAGTGGGTGAAGAGAGGGTGCCCGGACAGCAGTGGGTGTCCCTGCAACAAACCAAGACCTTCGCACCCCTTCTTGGCTACCCTCCTTCCTTTCCACTCCTGACACTGCCCTTTATCATCATGGCCACCAGCAAACCCAAGAAATGAGAGGAAACCTGGAAGATGTTTGGAGAGGCCCCCATGGTGGGTGCAAATTTCTTGGGGGGGAGGGGACCACTTCTGAGTTTGCTGCATAGGACAGAAGGTAAGAATCATGAAAAGGAGAGAAGAAAGGGGGAGCATGGTGGAGAGAAGAAAGGGGGAGCGCAGTGGAGAGAAGAAAGGGGGAGTGCGATGGAGAGGAGAGGGAGGGGCAGAGGGGGAGGAAAGGTGACCGGGGAAGGGGAGGGAAAGCCAGGGAAACAGCTCTCAGTTTCTGGGACTAGAAGCCAAAAGTAACAGTGACATCTGAAGGTGCAGCGGCCTCAGGGCTGCTAAAAACTTGCTCATTGCATTTGGCCCCTCAACCAGCTGACAGCTCGGCACCCCTCCCGCTCTGCCACCTCGCACCTCCCCCTAGGCACAGGGTCACACAGGGAAACTCCACTTCCCATGTTCTTAGCGACTTCCCCGTTCCCTCTCCATTCCCATCCAGACAGAACTCATTCAGGACCTCCCCAGCCTTCCTTCCATCTGGCTCCATTCCACTTCTCAAGCCCCAGCAGCTCCCCTAGCTCAGCAGCACCCCGAATGCTCATGCTCTGGCTTCTAGCCTGCACCTGCCTCACCAGCTTCCTCTCCCACCACCCGACATTGAACCCAGTGCCTCTGCCACCCAGAGGTATGGTGCCCCCCCCGGGGCCAACCAGGCTTTTCCTCACAGCATTGCACAGGTTGCGCCCTCTGTCTGGAACAAGAAAACCACCACCACGGAGGAGCGCATGTGAGCACAGGCACAGGCTATCCTTTCACCCTTTGAGGTAGGCACCAGGATCATCTCCATTGTTCCAGAGGAGTAAACTGAAGCTTTGAGGGGTTCACGGGCTTAGGGCCATCTGGCCTCTGTGGGAAAACCTACTAGATAAGGAAAGAGTGAGGGGGAGAAAAAAGAACTAGCACACACTGAGCACCTACTGTGTACCAGAGCTATGCCAGCCATGGATGTGTGTTCCGGACCTAAGAGGCTATGACTTGAATGCCAAGCTGCCCCATTTTTCTAGAACAGAGATTTTTGATTTGTGTTTAGTTAAAGGAGAGATACCCTGTCTTCTGCAGACTTTGTTAGCTTGTTTTTTATCTGGTGTGATAAGGTAAAAGAGTTTCTCTGTCTGCCTCTTTCCTCATTGTCAACCTTTTTTGTTCCTTTGCTTGCAGCTGTTGTCTGTATTTGAGGCTCACGAACCACTGGCAGGAAGAGCTCTAGAGAATTTGGGAAGAAGGGGGGTTGGGGAGGAGAGACAAAGGTGTGTGGTTTCTCAAGAAGCAGGGAGACATAAGGAAAATAGAAGTGTTCTCAAGTGTGTCGCCTGCAGCCTTGTCAGGGAATATTTCTTTAGATGGCTTCTTCTTCCCCTCCCTCATGCCCAGCTGGTTCTTCATCATTTTTTTAACATCTCTTTGGGGACAGGGACATGAAAGTGAACAGCAGGTCAAAGTCAGGAATTCGGGGTTCTGGGGTGGTCTGGTCTGATAGGCTCCCTTCGTCTGCGGCTGTGCCCTTCATGGGGGCAGGTGAGGCTGGTTCACAATTCCGGTCACATCACCCACTGCTGGATGACAGCATCACCCCTTCATCTGTCCATTTACATTTCAAACCAGCACCTGCCTGCTCTTGATTAATTATTTAGTAATTCTGGTCACTTGTGAGCATTTCTGAGCTCATATTTCACGTAAAGGGTCCATTCCTTTTTTATCCAAATCTTTTTTCCCTGGATCCTTGTGTAGTTTTTGAAATGAAATGGTACGTATTCCTTTTGAGCCCCCAGCACTGACGTGTTGGCTCCTCTCCTTGGCAGCAGTACACCTAGATATTGGGTTAACCGGGGGGGAATCTCCCGTCGGGCTCCCCCTCTCTGCCTACCTCTGACCTTGGCCAACTCCCCCGTCGTGGGAGCTCCATTTTTAAGTAAGTAAATAAAGGGGTTTGGAATGCTGAGTCTCAAGGTCTTCTCTATGTTTAATTATTGAGGGGATCTATGAGAATCACAGAGGGACATGGGCTTTAGAATTCAAGAGAATTTGAGGGGTCTCCACTGGCTCTGGCACTTATTTGCTTATTTCCGTGAGACATTGGATAAGTTAGGTTATCCATCCACATCTTACTTTCTTTACTTCTACAATGGGGATGGACATATATAGGTGGCAGGGTGGGGGTGGGGTTTAACAGGAATGCATGAAACGACACCAGCCACAGGTACTGAGTGTGGACTGTGAGGAAGATGGCATACTAAGGAGTTAAACTTGACCTTCTCGAACAATGCAAATAAAACAGTTGGCACAGAATCAACCTTCAAGAAGAGTTAGGCAGTTTATTATGGGGTTACCTTGACCCCAGGCAAAATTCTTAACCATACCAGCTTGGGGTAGTGGGAGCACCACATGGCCAAACCACCTCAGTTCTCAGAGTTCGAAACCTGAGGTTTGTCCTCTGAACTTTTGAATTCTGGTTCTAACACTTATTAGTTGTGTGATGTTGGAAAAATTTAATTTTCCCCAGCCTTAGTTTCATCATCTGCAGAATGGTTCCGATTCAACCTAGCTCAGAGGGGATATGGTGAAAAAATTAAATGCCAAAGGTGGAAACATCTGGCAGATAGTAGGCATGCAACTGATGACTTTGCTTTCTTAACATCATGATAAATTAAGGTCTGTTCATAAATGAGTTCCTATCAAATCTCAAGACAAAGAAGGAAAGTCCAGATTTTTTCTGATTTGTCACCAAAAGTATTATTAGGCTTTCAAGAAAACAGAGGGCATCCTTCATCACATAATAAAACTGAATCTACTGTTTTTTCTGGCCAGAAAAAAAAAAAGCATAAATACAACTGACGTCGATTCTCTGTGCATATTGCAGCTTGTCTCCCTGTTTTGTAGTTTTCGGAAACCAAAAGTCCATCTGTCTCGAAGACTTTCCTAGTCTCTAGAAGAGAAAACACGGTCTTGATATAGTCGTGCTGTTTCATGTGGCTGCCTCGGAGCCCCCTTGTACGCTCCCCTTCTGCTGGCAAGGGCATGAAGCCAGGATGCTGATTTATGGCTGCCTCTGTCCCGGCAGGTTAACCCCTATCACCTGTCACGCTGCTGTGTTAATTTCATCACGGCCTTCCCCCAGCTCTTCCGTGGTGAGAGCACAACAGAGGACATGCAGCTCGATGCACACTGCTCATTGATGCCCATGTGAAAAGAACAGCTAGAATGTCCTGGACACCCGGGCCCTTCCTTCCACAGTGTTTATACAGTCCCGAATCAATCAGAGAGCCATCAGTCTATTAAGCCCATTAACGCACAGCACACTGCATTACTTGATGGAGAGGCTTGTGCTTGAGAACGTTAAAATCTTGACTTATTTTTCCAGTCCTGGCCCCCCTTTTACTCATTAGTTCTGAGCTACACACTTTGTATTTCAGTTCAAATGTCCCCTTCCTCCATAAGAGGCAGACAGAGGGAGCAGGCTCTGGGGAGGTCAGCAGGGACCTAAGTGGCAGGAAGGCAGAGTGGAGGGTGGAGCCTGGGGAACCCTTCCTCAGGGCTCCTCCCTCCATGTATTCGTGGCTGCTCCCCTAGCCCACCCTCCCTGGCCAGTCTCAGGTGCAGCCCCAATGTCCCTATGACATGGCAGATGCTTCAGTCGTAGAGGTGTGGTTGGCAACCCTCTGGACCTTATTTCCTCCATTTGAGATACCAAGAACAGGATGACCTATGCCTACTTGGCAAAGTTTGTTAAGAAGATGAAATAAAACAGCTTAAATACACAGGTGTTAAAAAGAAATCTCTGCCAACTGAATAATAATAATAATAGTCGGAACCCCACGGCCAAACTCTGCATGGCTGGCAGTGGTGGTCCCAGGAGGTGGGGTGGTGGCCTGACCCTGTCTGGTGACCTCCCATCAGTCGTGGGGGATACTGGCATGTGGAACGGCCAGGACGCCAGGTGCTGCCTGGCTGGAGCTGCTTCCCCCTCTTACTCTCCCCTTTTGGCCCCGGTCGGTAGCACGAGCCACTGTGCCAGCAGCTGGTATCTTCAAGATGTGGCATCTGGGGACGGAGGGGCCGGCTGAGTGTGTGGGGTGGGCGCTGCCCGCCTACCTTCCATGATGACTCAGAAGGAATACCGAATACTGCTTTACTCTGGGTGAGTCCTAGACAAGTGCTGAGTTCCTGTGTGGGGTGACTGTTCTGCATGGAGGGAGGCCAGAAGCCTTTTTTGAATAATAATCACTTTTCCTATATCTTCTCATGGCTGCTGAAGGTGTCCCTTGGGCCAGCACACTAGGCAAACATGGCAAAGCTCTGAAGCTTTGTCGTGGTTCCCATTGTTTTTGTTTTGTTGTTGTTGTTTTTGTTTTTTAATTAAGTCTGGGAAAACTGTGACAATATCCAGGCACGATGGATAATAGTCAGATTGACACTGCATCTTCATTTTGAAGAGCATGTAAATGGGAATGAGATGATAACACTGTTAAAATAAGATTAAT